GCGCTGCACCTTCCACCATCGCCTGTACCCCATAATCTTCTACAATATGCAGGAACCCTTCTATTTCCTGCACATCTTGTACCCTACAAACCAGGCTGTACCCCTTAATCCTCCACAGCTTAGATCCCTGTTCCTTGCACCCCCAAGTTAGATCACTGCAGCCTTTTATCCTACAACCCAGACTGTACCCCTTCACCTTCCAGAGCGTTGATCCCCGTTTCTTGCACCCCAAATTAGACCACTGTTTCCTTTTATCCTACAACCTAGAATGCACCCCTTAATCTTCCAAAGCTTAGATCCCTGTTCCTTGCACCCCAAGTTAGACCACTGTAGCTTCCACCCCTTCACCTTTCATCATAGTCTGCAATCCTTTACCGTCCCTATACTGCTTGCGCCACATTTCCCGAACACCACTTATCTTTACTTCCCACCCTGCACCTCTTTATCCTGCACTCCAGTTAAGAATTTTTGCAACCCCTTTACTGTCCTGAACACCCCAAATTATACCGATTTACCCACCAGCACAGATTTGTTCTCTATCTTTTACTGCTCTCGGCAATCTGCACCCCATATCCCAGCCCGAACCCCTGTACCTTCCGCCTTTTAAATCCTATACCCTTTCCTTCACAATTTGCACCCCTACCGCCCAAATTACACCTATTTATCTTCTAGCACAGATTTGATCCCTATAACCTTAGTGTTTTCATCAATCTGCACCCCATATTACACCATGACCCTCAATCCTTGCATTATATACACCTTAGCATGTAAACCTTTCCTGAGCACGACATTTTAACAACAATAATAATAAATAATAATAATAATAAATAGATTATTAATTTTAAATGGATACAAAATATTGACAAGATCTGGAAAGCTTAGTTGCTACTTTAAATCACAGAGGTGGGTGGAAAACCGTTTCAGATTAAACTGATAAATAAAATAATATTTGAGTCATTTATAATAATAAAAAAATATTTTTCAGACAACCCCTCACCCCTGTGCAGCCCCTCTTCCCATAATGGATGGAAATCAGCGAGTCATCTGTGCCAGCTCTCAGCACCACTAGTCTGACTCTCTCTGCGACTTGTAATTAAACTTATAATTAAACATAATTGTTTTCATGATAAATTCCCCCCCAAGCAGCAAACACACCCAGCCTGGGAAGAAGGTCAGACCTCTAGAGAGACACAGAAAACCAGGCAGAGAGAAAAAAAAAATACTTAACAAGGAATGAGTAGGTGGAAAATATGGGTAATAATGGAGCAAGGCGAGTCCATTATAAGATCTTCATCACAAATCTGCTGCTCTGAGGGTTAGCTGATGGGAATCTGACTGGGAAGCCTTCCCGAAGTGGGCATTTTATTCATCGAAATTCTATACATGCAGCAGTTTGCAATTTTATATATATATATAAGGGGGGTTAAAGTTATCAAATAATAAAAAAAATTGAACATACACTGCTGCAATTTAATATATTGTCAGAAATCAAGCCATCATAATTTCTTTTTAATATATAAAGAAACTGCTGATATTTTGTTAAAAAAAAAAACAAGTA